CCTTGAGAATCCAATGTTTAGAGTTTACATCAGAGAGAAAGGTCATTTATATTTAATGATGTTGATGTACTTTTGTTCATATATATTTGTAAATATGTGTGTACGTGTGTGTGCGTATATAATTTGTTGTTGTTATGGTTCAGCTAGCATCTGTTGAATGCCTGCTATGTGCCAGGCACTGTGAATAAGCTCTGAGGACTCAAAGTTGAGTTAACTATAGTTTCTGACTTTGAGGCCCCATATACTGTAATGATGATATAGACATAGGTGCTGTAGTAGCCCTTGATATGGATGGAATTATATTTTAATATTATCAAAGTTTGAATGTGAATGTTTTTAAATAGGTTTTGATTTTTGTATATTTGTTCTTTGAAGGCAAATGTGTAATTTATGTAGAACTTTACATTAGCAATGCTCAGTGTTTAAAAATTCAAATCATGAAAACACAAAGTCAAGGAGGTTTATGGGAATAAAATACCAGTTTTCTCTGTTGTTTTTGCCCCCCAAATTGTGGCCAAAAGGTTTTCATGAGAGAGAGGGAATGTTAAGACATATCATTTTAGTACATGTATCCTTTATGAATGTTTTCCCATGATGGCAGCGGTGCCCCTTAACATAGAACATTTACTGTGTGCCCAAAACCGTGTTGAGTGGTTCCTGTGTATTATCTCATTTAATCCTCCTTTAAACCCTGAGATTGGTACTGAGATTTCAATTTTACATGAAATCACATGAGCAATTTTCATAATTTTGTTTCATAAGTTAAAGTTACATGTACAGAATCTGACTTTGGAGGCAACACTAGTTTTAACATGACATTTTGAAAGAAAATGAAGTGCACATTTTTTCCAGCTATTTTAAATATCTTTAATATCTTATACTACGTGATATTTCATTTCACATATGCCATTCAGTCTTCACAAGAAGTCATGCTATAGACAAGGCCAGGGATACCCAGGTGAGGCTACACAGACATGGGTGACTACATTACTTGGGTTACATATAACAGTGGACCAACAACTAAACCCCAGGCTTCCTGACTCCGGGTTCAGTTTTCCATTGTATCTGGTACTTCCTCTGCATTCATTCAGTTCACCAAAGGATAAAGTTGTCTTTGTTCTCTCAGGTTTGCCTTCTCCCCCACCCCCTTCTCCTTTAACTTAACTTTTACTTCACTTATTTAGCTAATAATCCAAGAATGTTGCTAGAGTAGCAAAAATTTGATTAGAATCATCACCTTCAGTATTTCAGGTAATGGAGTGGAGTGAAAGCAGCGTAAAAAGCAGAGCCCATTTATTCTGTTCCCAGGCTGGCCTCCCGGATGGGTTAAAGTTGACATCTGGTACGGCTTTCAGTGCTCTGTCTTCTGGGAAGCCCTGGTAGAATACTTGACACCGAGCATCAGACCTGACCCGAGCATTAGCCCAAGCAAGCTCTGTGTAATTAAGCTGTTCGGATTTGTTTCCCCTGACCGGACAGAACAGCCTTACAAGGTGAGGGCTCTGTTGAAGTGATAAAGCTGATTAGATCCTTAGCAGTAAAGGAATCTGATCTTAGAAATTTCCTCCAGCTCTTGTTAATGAGGCAAAGACAACACTTAGCAGGGAAAATGAGGTCACTAAAAAAGAGAAACATTTTTTTTTCTTTAATAAAGAACTGCTTCTTTTAAACTAAGGCCTAAATTTATTGTCCAGAATAAAGCTCCATTTAAAAGAACAAATAAACCTTTTTCTCAACGGTGTAGTAATCATGTTTAAATATATCATTTATATGGAACGAAGGAAGTTTAAACAATTCTCGAAGGTAAAACTAAGATAAGCCTAGAATTTAAAGTAGTTTAATTAATGCTGACTAAAACAAAACTGAAATAACTAGCAATGATTAATTATACAGATGTGTGGTCTATTTATAAGAATGGTTTGTTTTGCTTTCAAAAATGGGTTTCTCACTTTTTCTTTCAGTGCCTTCCCTTTTTTTTTGAACTATTTATTCAAGCAAGTAAAATATTTTCCTGAGATACACCTATCTAAATCTTACATGTTAACAAGGTTGATAATATTACCATTTGGTTTATGTAGCACTTTTACATAGGGCACTTTTAATCCTCATAAAGTATTGCAATGAAAGCTGCAGTTTATCTGTATTATGGGATTGGGACTTGGCTCTAAAAGGTTATGTGATTTGCTCAAGAATTTTTAAATGGGAAACTTGGGAATCAAGTATTAAGTTTTCTTATCCCAAAGAAAGTGGCTTAATAACCACAGTTTTTTCAAGTTATACATTGTTTAGAGTTTATTCCCTCCTCTATTTCTTGCTAAGGCTTTTACCGCTATTTAAAAAGTATCAAGATAATTTTCACGGCAAATACATTTATGTGAACCATACATCATATGTATATACAGACATATATATCTGCTCATGAGTTAGCGATCCTTTCATCATAAAGCATTTCTCTTCCCCCAAAGACTTTGTTCTCCTAACTTCTCACTTCAGCTTATTCCAGTGAAATTAATAGACAGAAAGAGCCAACTGGAAGTGGAAAAGAGCCGACTTGACATGGGAGAAAGTTTATGCTGGGAGTGGATGGATGGGAGATACTGTGTGCATCCTATTGTCAATTGGCTTTTGGGTGGATACAGAAATATGGCACCAGGATAGGAAGGATGTAATGCTGATGATACTGATATTTAGTCACATAATACCTAATTAGCATGCTATTTAAAATGACATTAATTTTTTAGTTTAAATTTTAGACTTTAAAAGGAAATTGAATGCCCATTTAAAGGAAATGTTCTCACCCTTTGCTTCTTTACCTTGAGAGGGCAGTGTAGTGAAGTTGATGGAAGAATACAGCATAGAGTTAGGTTAGCTAAGGTCCATTCCTGACTCCACCACTTGTTAGCTGTTAGACTTCAGTTACTTAACTTTTCTTTAAATTGAGGATAAAAATAATACCTAATCCAAATGATTGTAGTGAGGATTAAAGGAGCATGGTGTGGTTGGGGGCAAACACCACCAGCTGCTCGCATGTCTGTGCACGCTAGTGTAGGACAGTATCTTGTTTATAGTAAGTGCAATAAAAGTTAGTTAGTTTCAGCCATCAACAAAGCTTCTGCCTCTCCACTATAGTAAAACTGTCTGTCAAAAAGTTACCCGAAAACTCTGAATGGCTACCTCCAGTTGCTACTTTTTAATTATAGTTTTTCTTGACCTCTGTCCTGTATTTCATATACCATGGCCTCCATCTTTTTTTAAAAAGCCAGACTTCCCAAATTTCCAGTTTGTTTTTCTATTTTCACACGACCACCGTAAGCTTCACTGTTCTTACTTACCTCCATCAGTGGCCATAAATCTGTGCTGAGCTATCATAGAATCACAGTCTAATCCGAGGATTGGCCAATATTCCCAGAGACAAGGAGACACGGCTGGAGACGGATCATAGGATCGCAATGCAGAAACTGCCCTCCAAATCTGTATTCATATAGATGCCATCGTTTTTGAGCATATCTGATGTTCTGAATTTTGGTTATTGTCATTTATCTGGATTTTTCTAATCCTTTTGGTGGGAGTGGTGGCCTGCCTGAAGCTTCCTGGTAATTCTTTCTCTGCCTCCCCTGACCCTTGTGTCTGAATCAATCTTGGTTGGCTTAATTTCTGCTGACTGTCTTCTTGCCTCCTTTTTAGTGGTTTTCTCCTTTTCCAGATAATTCTGCCTAGCTCTTTTCTAGTTCTTTACCCTATATGTATCCTAAGCAAAGCAAATTTGAAATATCTGAATTGTACTTGGTTATCTTCTCTCTGAAATTTGTACCTTTTGCTTTATCACTAGTCCTGACTAGGAATCTCCAATGGTATCACTCATCTAGTGGACCAAACCAAGAGTCATAATTGTTTCATCTCTTACTGCAACTAATGAGTCAGTAAGTTCTAGTTGATCTGTTTCCTTGGTATTCTTTACCTTTTTTAATTCTCATTTTTCTATTTCCACTGCTATTAGCATATTTCAAAACTGTTTCCAGTCTTATCTTCTGTTAGGTCATATCCACCTGATAGCCAAATATATTTCTATCAGACGGATTTCATTATATAATTCTTACAGTAAACATAAACCCCCCTTACATTTTTCAAAATATCTGTGTATCTTCACAAATAAAGGAACCCATAGTCAAATAAAATGTTGAAATGTGTCATGCTATCTCTATTTTCTCTTGAAAACTCACAGCACACATTATTAAAAGAAAGGCTATATGATGTTCTGCTATTGACTCTAACAACAACATTCTATAACATGAGCTAATATTTGGACATGGACACTTTTTTGTTTGTGTGATATTTATTAATATAGAACGATTGACAGGATATACTCCTGACATCACTCTGACAGTGTTCAAGGTCTACCATGCCTTCTTTACTAATCTCATCTCTTCTTCTATGAGCCTTTGTAGACATACAGATTACATTTATTTTCTCGCCAAACACACTGCTCTATTTTATTCCATTTTATATTATCCCTTTTGCCTGGAATGCCACTAATCTATCCGATGAGCTCTATCTTAGAAATTTCAACTCTTAAAAGTTTTGATCATTTGATATTTTCACTGGTTAGCTTACTGCTTGGCATATTGTAAGTGCTTAGGTTATGTTAAATAAATAACAAAAAATAGAAAATAAACAAATTTAGGGATTTCTGATTTGCTGGATCTCCCTATTCATTTTGTACATGTATTGACCATTCAGAAAATCTAACAACACTTTATAGTAGTTTCTTAAAAAATTTAGTGAGTGCTGTTTGACCTCAGTAATTTGATGGCTCTTCAAAAAGCTATTTTGTGTATTTGTGAAAGGTTTAGGAAATGACTTCACATTACAAGATACATTTTAAGTTCTTATAGGATGAAAATCAAATTAAAATTTTAAGCATTTTATGGCTATTCTTTTTCTGCTCTGAAAATTTCTTATAAATGATTGTTTTAAATGTTTTCTATTTGTTTTCCTGACAGGTAATATTTGAAGCTGAAGTCTCAGGAGGGAGGAGTGGTTATATTGCCATTGATGACATCCAAGTATTGAGCTATCCTTGTGGTAGGTTATGATTAAGAATTGTATTTTTCTATGCTCTTTCACCACTTGTCTTACATTGGCAGTGACTGTTGATCACTCATCACTTGATCATTGCTGTCTCCTTTGTTCAGTTTTAAGGGAGCATTGAAATATATCTAGAGGTTTTGACTCAAATGTTTTCCAGACCTGTAGATGTAACAGTAGCTAAGCTGATAATCTGTTTGAGAGAAATAGAAATATCCCCTTGTTCTTTGAAGTACTAGAGGGTTATATCATTGAAATAATAATAATAATGATAATAATAATAAGAAGAAGAAGATCCAATTGCTTAAAGTGTGGCTTAACAGTTCAACAGTCATGCATGTCAGTATTTTAGATTATTACATGCTTTCATTATATTTCTCCATTCTGCACTGTTTTGTGCCTATTTGATCTCTTCACTTGCTTTGACTTGTAACTGTTTTATTAGCACCCACATGAATAATCTTTGGCAATCCTCTGCCCTAGTTGTTGAGTGTTCATTCTATAGAGCAATGCTCTAACAATAACGGAGCAATGGGTGATAGAGGTATAGAGGAAAAGAACTGGGAGAATGAGAGAGGAAGTGGTATCTTCCAATGCAAAGAAAACTCAAATTTCTTCCATGTGTTATGAACCTTGGGCAAAGATAATAGCATCAAAAACATTCTTCTCCTGGAAAAGAGTAACATGGATTGTTTTCTCTGTTTTAAAGCAATAATTTTTTCCCTGTCTTCACAGATAAATCTCCTCATTTCCTCCGTCTGGGGGATGTAGAAGTCAATGCAGGACAGAACGCTACGTTTCAGTGTATTGCTACAGGGCGAGATGCTGTGCGTAATAAGCTGTGGCTGCAGGTAAGCCCAAGATGGCATCTGAGCTAAAGAGTACACTTGATTAAAAAAAAATCACAAATGTCCTGTTTGTGGTTTCATTATTTTCTGTGCATATGAGAGAGAGAGAGAGAGAGAGAGAGAGAGAGAGAGAGAGAGAGAGTGAGTTTTGTTTTAACTGGCTGCAGATTCATTTCAGATATTTCTGTTTTTGGAATATGAATAAAATATAACATGATATAGTTTAAAAAATACTTGAATAGTGTCTAAGAAGACCTAATGATTTCCTAATGTTACATACAAATTGTAAAAATAATTTTTCTAGATCCACTATATAGGACTATAATGAAAATTTCCTCATTTAATATTTTGAAAACTCAAGTAATAAGAACTTAAGTAGGAACTGTCATATTCAAATGCATTTAAAAAAAAAGTATCTTATGACATTTTGGGGATTATTCCTCAAAATGTGAACTGGAAGAGGAATTAATTTTTTCCCATGATTCTTGTGCATAAAGGTTAATCACAAATCTGTTGTCAAGACTGTTGCCTTGCATATGTTAAATATCAATAAGTATGTATTTAATGAATTGCAATTTAGCATACACGTTGGGGAAACATAAATGGGACATTTAAAGATCTATAAAAGAATCAGAAGGAAAACAATAGACTAAGAAAAGTGTCATATTTTCGGGAAATTATTTGTCCATCCCCGGGCAGTGGGAGCAGTGAGTGGTGGGGAAGAAGCAAAGAGCAGTTCCAACAGCTGTTCAACAAAAAGTTTGAAGTTACAATATAAATAATAATATTCTCTATGCACATTTATTATTATGTTGCTTCTATTTGCATCAGAATGGGGGAAGAGATTTAATCAGTTTGTATTTTAAACTTCTGAGGATACAATAGAGACCAAAAAAGAAATTATTGTAAGATTAGCTTATTTTGTGGAACACTGACATCAGGATTTATTTTACTATATCTTTATAGAGGTGAAATTAGTGTTGAGGATAATCATTAGTTTGCAGGTGTTTGGGTAATGATTACAATAAAAAGATTTAAAAAAATCATACTTAGTCTAATGCCTGATATTATACTAGATATTTTAAATCTGTTATTTCATCTAATTCCCACAATACAACTGGATAGCAGATGTATATCATATAAATCTAATTACTATTTCTTTGAAATTCATTTGATTTGCCGGTATCAGGATACCATACTGAATATGTGAAAAGGAAATGAAGCCCCTTCTTTTTTTCTGATTGTGCTTATTTCCCCTCCAGATATTAAAATATAAGAGAATTATTCCTGGAGAGCAAATTGTATAATATGCAACTTTTTTTTATCAGCTAAACATTAAGTCAGAGCCCCTCTTAGTTTCTCCCTCTCAGCCTAAATAAGAGAATTAAAAATACTGTTAGACATACTTTGTGATCATTTTGCTAATTATTTTCATTTAGGTAGGAATATTAGTTGGCATTTAACTTTAGTTGTGATCATCAGAGAAATAGAAGCTCATACTCTGTCCTGATTTTATGCCCCAGGATTTAATGTGACACTGAAATAAAAAGGGTTTTGTATACTCAGACACCAGCTGCCTTCTTGCACCAGTCATCCTGGCCCATCTGAGTGGGATGCAGTTGAAATATTTCTTATTGTTTGTTTGTTTCCTATTTTACATATCAACTTATTGCATGATAGTTTCTTACATTTATTCCTGCTATTTTTCAAAATAAAATGAATATCAAAATTTTCTGTTCAACTTCAATTCTGCTTTCTTCTCTTCCTTTTATTTACTTTTGCTTAGTTGTTTTTGTGTATTTCTCTTTTATTTTGACATTGAGATTGCCCCGATTTCTTAGCAATCTACATATTTACTGTATTCATTAAAAAGCTTTTCTAGCTGGGACTGGTTTGGCTCAGTGGATAGAGCATCGGCCTGCAGACTGGAAGGTCCCAGGTTCGATTTTGATCAAGGGCATGTACCTTGGTTGCGGGCGCATCCCTAGTGGGGGGTGTGCAGGAGGCAGCTGGTCGATGTTTCTCTCTCATCGCCGTTTCTAACTCTCTGTCCCTCTCAATTCCTCTCTGTGTAAAATCAATAAAATATATATATTTTTAAAAAAGCTTTTCTACATTTCTCAATAATACTACTCATGTTACCTTAACTTACCCTCTTAAATATTATTTTCCATGTTTAAGAAGGATTGAAAACTGTCTAGTACTTAGTTTAGGGATCTTTTCAAGTGAATGAGACTAGTTATCATACCTATATAACATGAGTCAATCAGAAAGTGGCCAGTGACTTAGAAATGTATTCATCTTTTGTTAAAATAGTAGAAACACCATAAAGCAGACAGAATCTTGGTTCCATGATGAATCTACAAGCCAACCCATACAAATAAATGTCAAGTCATTTTTGCTTGGTGTGCAACAACTTCCTAGAAATCAGGAAGTCCATTTCTTAATTCTAATCTTAATTCCAACCATTTAATTCTGATAATCTACTTCATTGTGTGGGCTTAGAGGATTTCTTGAACTATTCTGAGTATCATTTTCCTTATTTATAAAAGGAGTTGGATAGAGATTAAAATTGGTTCCAGCTAAAGATGCTAAACTCAGTCTTTATAGTACTTTAAAAAAATAGATCTTTATTGATTTCAGAGTGGAAGGGAGAGGGAGAGAGAGAGTGAAAGAAACACCAATGATGAGAGAGAATCATTGATCGACTGCCTCCAGCATGTCCCTCACCTGGGATCAAGTTTACGACCCCGGGCATGTGCCCTTGACCAGAATCAAACCCAGGACCCTTCAGTCCAAAGGCCAATGCTCTATCCACTGACCCAACCCAGTTAGGGTGATCTTATAGTAGTTTTGATGGTCTGAAATAGTGCTTTGATTACCTTTTCTTGTTTGTTGGAAGACTGTCTGATTTTTATGTTATTAGGTTTTAATGCATAAAATGTCTCTTAAATTAAGTATCTTTGTGAGAACAGCTATTTAAAATATCTGCTGACAATACTGGGAATGAATGTACTTGAAGCAACTCAATGCAAGGTCACTGCATCCTATCAAAGAAATAATGGAATAAGGGATTAGCTATTACATTTGCTGTGGTCAGGTGTAATAAAATTTGTGATCAACTTTTTTATGTCCTCCAAATGACATATTATTTAGCATTGCACTTCAATTGGTAAGATGTTGTCTAAATATGGGATAAAAATAATAAAAACAAAAAGAGCAGCTAATTTTTATTTTACATGAAAAAATAATACAATACAATGTTTGTGAAATATTTCTGATCATAATGCCTGTTACTGTTTTATATTTAGAAAAATTTACATATCAAAATACATATAGAGGATAAATACCCCCCCCACTTATTAATTATCTTAACTTTACAATTCATATTTTAACCATTTTTATTATTTAAAATGGCATACAAATTAGGTAAATTAAAAAATGGGGATACAAAAAGCAAAGAATGAGTTGTCTGAGCTAATGTAGGATAAAGCTTATCATAGTGGTGCTGGATATAACTTCAGAGTTTGCTTTTTTGTGAGATGTTGGATTATATGATTATAGAGTTTTAGGAATAGGTAATTTATTCTGTACATTTAGTAAACAATGACAAAACATAATCTGAGTGAAACTCCTTAAATGCATTCAGCATAAATATATATATAAAACAACATGAATGAATGTTTTTAGAAGTGTGATGAGGGTCAACAAGCTAGAAATATGGTGAAATCATGATGCTTCCCAGAACATAGTTTTAAAATTTGTGTTCACTTAAGTTAGATAAGGACATAGAATACAGTCTTTAGTCTCTCTTAGAGAATTTCCAAATCCCTCTTTTGTAATAAAGCTCAATGAAGTAGCGTATATCTAGATATAAACATAACAATTTTTCTCAAGTTACAATTTGTAATATTTTTCTACATGAATAGAATCTGTCCACCCTCTCTCCCCACCTCCATTCTTACAACAAGTTTAAGAAACAAGTCACTTTGTGTTGCTAAGGAACCTCCAATAGTAGATAATTTGTGGATCATAACTTAAGGCTGAGGGTAAAAGGCAGGTTTTAGGAAATAAGATCATGAATGAAATTTCAATTTATACTGGCTATATTCCTGAGTAAAATAATAAACTCATATTATATTACTGAGATATGTCAGTTAATTTTCTCACAGAAAAATTAGTTTAGACATTTTTATAGGTTAAAACTTTTAGTCATGTCCTTTTTATTTCAACTCTTACTAATATGAATAGTAGATAATGTAATAGCAAGAAATGGTGAATATATAAACTAACAACAAACATGGCACCAGCAATTCATCTTCTAAGTATCTACTGAAGAGAGATAAAGGCATGTATTCACAAAAAGACTAGAGCAAGAATGTTTGTAACAGTTTTCTTATAAAAATTGTAAAGATCTCAGATGTCCTTTAACTGGAGAATGGATAAGCAAGCTGTGGTTCATTCAAGTAATGGAATGTTATTACTCTGTAATAAGAAAGAATGAACTACTGATATATCTGCCAATATGGATGAATCTCAGCAACATCACATTTTCAGGACAGATGCTCACAGAAAAAAACATTTTGTATAATTTCACTTAAATTAAGCTCTAGAAGAGATACAACTAACCTAGGATGATAGAAATCAGAATAATATTTGTTTCTTGAGGGTGAGGATTGACTGGAAGTGGACAAGGAAAAATGTCAGGAATAATGCAAACATATCTTTATTGATGCGTTGGATTAATGGGTATATAAACATTTGTCAGAAGTTAAGATCTCTCCAATTTACTATAAACATTTATATTTAACTTAATAAATCATGAATGAGGGAAAAAGTGAGTATATGAAACATTTTATCAAATATTCAAATTAGTGGCAGTACTAATCAAACCAGAGATGAAAGTAGCCTGCAAACATTACTCACATTTTTGTTCACCTTGTCTGAATGTCCCGTTTTCAGAACATGTTGTAACTTGGGAGGATGTGAAAGCATTGAAGCAG